TTTTGGATGTTTATCAAAGCCTGGTTAACCTTAACGGGCCAGCCCGGCTCCATAACAAGAGCGGAGTAGGCTATTTAGTCATATATACTAAAACTGTCTGTACCAGTGTAGGTAGTACCAATGTGAAAATGCTGTGCTGAGTGGTTACCTTAAAAAATAAGCAGAAACTCGACGTAAGGCCCTTCGTCAAGAAACGTCGAGTTTCTGCTTATTTTTTAAGGTAGTAATATAACCACTCAGCACAGTATTTAGTCATAAACACTGTCCAACATCTATGTTCCAATATGCAGGGAACACATTAGAATTCATTCCCCATGTATTTTATAGAGACGTTCCATCTCCTAATATCTTTAAACGAACGCTTTTTAATTATCTTAATTTAAAATTATCGATGTAGGCTTTCACAAATTAAAGCATGCAACAAGCCAGAGGGCACTTGGAGACTGGTACTTCCGCCAGGGAAGTTTATTTATTTCAGTCATGTATAAATTCTTTTAAAATTTATTTGCTGACGACGTTTTGTTGTATATCACAACATTTTCAGAGTATTTAAATCTATTTATACAAGAGTATGCTATGTACTGTTTACAAAATCGTGGTGTTTAGGTAGGGTGGATTGGGCTGAAAAGTGGGGAATGCAACTTAATGGGTTCAAATGCCTCGAGTTTTTAAGAGCATAATTGTCTGGAAGTTAGAACCGATGTAAAGAGCGGTTAATTGGGCGTTTGGACCTGACTTATTTGTTATAAAACTATTAGTTTATAGGTGTTAACTATACATACGCCAACGCGCGCATGAAATTGCCATTTCATTTTGATATTAAGGCTGACCAGAAACACGGCTACTGCACTTTCGAGAGGCGCGACAATTAGTATTCCTCATGTTGACGCAATAATTTGTGTCTATTAGCATAATCACATTATTGATATTTTAACCGCAGCCAATCACCATCCGCCTCCTGAAGAGTATAACAATACATAATCCGATTTTATACGCACGTACGTCCCAACTTTGTACACCATGTGAGCTTTCGTTTGCCCACACACGATTGCGGCTCAACATCTCTCGTTTCTACGTATTTATAGTTCCAAAAACGCATTTTATATTCATCTACAGTTTCCAATATTGTACGTCATGACTCGTGAGCTTTCGTTTACGTCTATTTGTGGCTTAAGTGATGATTAGGTATTTAGGGCTCTATACATCTCTTCTCTAGTTTGTACTTATTTATTGTTGTAAATGACCCACTTTATATGTGATATTTTCCAATATTGTACGTCATCTGATCTTTCGTTTACGTCTATTTGTGGGTTTAGTGATGGTTATGGCTATATACATCTCTTAGTTTGTATTTATTTATTGTTGCAAATGACCCACTTTATATATGACAATATGTGATATTTTCCAATATTTTACGTCATCTGATCTTTCGTTTACGTCTATTTGTGGGTTTAGTGATGGTTAGGGCTCTATACATCTCTTCTCTAGTTTGTACTTATTTATTGTTGCAAATGACCCACTTTATATGTGATATTTTCCAATATTGTACGTCATCTGATCTTTCGTTTACGTCTATTTGTGGTTTAGTGATGGTTAGGGCTCTATACATCTCTTCTCTAGTTTGTACTTATTTATTGTTGCAAATGACCCACTTTATATGTGATATTTTCCCATATCGTACGTCATCTGATCTTTCGTTTACGTCTATTTGTGGTTTAGTGATGGTTAGGGCTCTATACATCTCTTCTCTAGTTTCTACTTATTTATTGTTGCAAATGACCCACTTATATGTGATATTTTCCAATATCGTACGTCATCTGATCTTTCGTTTACGTCTATTTGTGGTTTAGTGATGGTTAGGGCTCTATACATCTCTTCTCTAGTTTCTACTTATTTATTGTTGCAAATGACCCACTTTATATGTGATATTTTCCAATATTGTACGTCATCTGATCTTTCGTTTACGTCTATTTCTGGGTTTAGTGATGGTTAGGGCTCTATACATCTCTTCTCTAGTTTCTACTTATTTATTGTTGCAAATGACCCACTTTATATGTGATATTTTCCATTATTGTACGTCATCTGATCTTTCGTTTACGTCTATTTGTGGGTTTATATAGTGATGGTTAGGGCTCTATACATCTCTCGTTTCTGGTTATTTATGGTTCCAAATGACGCACTTTCTTAGACTTGCCCAAGTCGCTCGCTAGGGACCGCGCGTAGCAAGAAGGGAGCGCTTGAGAAAGACGGAAGCGAGCGACTTGTGTCACTTGCCTGATTTTGAATCTTACTGAAAAATTTGGCGCGAAAATCAATTATGACATAGTGGGCGTTCACCATGTCGATTTCACTAGTTCATTATTGTTTTGGCGTCGTTAGTACAGAATAATAATGAGCATTCACTGACGTCACCGGAGCAAAAATGCACCGGTGAATTTGGCGCGCTTGCGGGTGAGAAAATTAAAGTCCGTCGCTTCCAGGAACCACGAACCGCGGACTTTGGAAAGTCTAGCACTTTCTATGTGCATCTACTTTCCAATTAATATTGCTCGCCATGAGAATTCGTACATGAGAATAGCCAGTACCTATATCTGATATATTATATACTATAATTTGTATTAGTCTTTTTTTTGGGGGGGGGGGGGTCCAACACATTATTGTTGTTGTCGTCGTCGTCGTCAATGGTGGGTATTTCGTTTCCGTCTATTTGTGGGTTTAATAGTCATCCTCGGAAATCATGTTTCGCTCGCTACTCTGGTTTAAATAAATGATTACAAAGCCCAGTCGAATTGTAATCAAGACCCAACGTTTCGACACTCCAGTCTAGTGTCTTCATCAGGGGTGATCTAAAACTGCGATCGTGGCTTCTTAAATACCCAAGGGATGACGTCACCTGCCAAGAAGATGCATATATTCCTCTGGCAAATATATTCCTCTGGCAAATATTTAAGAAGCCACGATCGCAGTTTTAGATCACCCCTGATGAAGACACTAGACTGGAGTGTCGAAACGTTGGGTCTTGATTACAATTCGACTGGGCTTTGTAATCATTTATTTAAACCAGAGTAGCGAGCGAAACATGATTGATATACCTGGTTGCAGTGAACGAACAAACTTTATATCCTCGGAAATGTTGGCACTTATATGGCTCTGTTGGCACTTATAGTTTATTGTCTACCACATTACCCACTTTATATGCGTCTACTTTCCACTATTGCACGTCATGAGAACTCGTCAATCGGTGGGTATTTCCTAATTTTGTGATATACAAAAAGAAATCCTCATCCTTATTAGTTACATTCAACCACCAGTTTACACGCGACCTAACCACATTAAATCACCTTATACGACAGGGAAGCTTTTTAGCGCAGGAACGTAGCTACTATACTAGGAAATATGACATAATTTCATTCTATTTAAACTTTAGAAACGTCAACTTACATTATTTATGCAGGAAAACCTCTCTCTCTTCCGCAAAGAGTGAGATTTCCTCTCTCTCTTTCTCTCTTAAGCCCGTTCTCCACTAGGCGAATTTGTTCGCGCGAACAGTAAAAAGTTGGAATTAATCCAACTTTTTCGCGGCGAATTTTTTCGCTGACCAATCACATTGCCAAGATTTGTGGATGCTAACCAAGTTTTTTTTTTATTTGGCCTAAGTGCAACCCTCGTTAAGTAAAGTCACTCGCAGGTCGTGTTTTATTAGGTCTAAAGCCACTCGCGCTGCGCGCTCGTGGCTTTAAACCTAATAAAACACTCCTGCTCGTTTATTAAACAGTACTTCACCTTATATCCACTGAAGCCAATGGCAATGGTGGAAACATTGCTGTGACAACCACACATCTACTGTGGTGATATGTTAGAAGAGATTCTTACAGTTTCTGGTTATGGGTGCATGACCTTTTAAATTTTTCGGTGAATAACTATCACGCCCAGATAAATGCAAACAAAATCTCATCTACTGTTTAGCGTTCTAAAACTCATTAGAAGAGATGTAGGAAACTATATCTTATATACAGAGGTATATAGCAGGGACGGACCATTACATATCATGATTACATGTGCAATAGTCTGGATCTATCTTGTCTTTTGTGTATACTGTATACAAATGAGTCTTTACTGACTGTAGATATATATCAACAATCTATTACATATATTTTTTATTTTTTATTAAAAATATTTACAATATTAAAAATTTTAAAAATATTTGCAAACAAAAGGAATGATATATAATAATATGGAGTACATTAAGGAGAAATTAGTACATGTGGAACATTGTCAAATTGTTTGTGCTGTATGTATCAATACTCATGTGAAATAGTAGAATATTCTACAAGAGACTCCCCAATATTTATACGTTGATATATTTACAAGAATCCGTCGTATTTACCTGGTAGATATCTTATATAGTTTGTCACTCACAACTTGTTGACAAATTGATGAATTGCAGGACGATAACAAGTTGTTGGAACAACTTGTAACAAGTCTGTTGAGCTCAACAATCTTGTAGCAAGTTGTTAACAAGCCGTTGATAACTTGTCAACAACCTGGGGAACAAGCAGTGAGAACACATCCTGCCTTAACATTATAACAAGTTGTTGGAACAGCATTGCTACAAGTTTGTTGCAGGTTTGTTACATTTGTATATTTAATAAGATCCACAGTTATAGCTAGCTAATTTACACGTACATGGTCTTTATTATACATTAGAATAATTATATAAAACTTATATTACAGTAAATGTTTATCCCTTTATATTATAATTTCTTAATATGAAATAGCATTAAATTAAATTAAAAAAACTAGGTTCTAAATAGATAAAACCATATTCTAATCATCGTTAAATAAACCAACTCAATTCCTTTAGAATAGCCGATCTAAATAACTTTGTATAGTACTTATACTCCTTGTCTCGGATGTTAAATTATTCCATAATTCAACATGCTCTTGTTCTAAAAAGTCTACGTGCATGCATATGTACAACAATTAAGATCCACCATTGTTTATACATCAATCATCATCTGTCGTCTTTCAGCGCAATCTTGACAGTCCATTTCTCGTCTGTATTTTTGACAACACAATATATTATAAAGTATTCCCTTCTTGCGATGCCATAGGTTGCAATCCACGATTAATATCGACAATAATATTGTAGACAGGACGAACGCTGCCAGGAGTAATTTTGTTGAACCAATGTAGATTATCATCTCGTTTTGCGGCTCTAAAAAGGGATTGATCTTTCATTAGTAAAATATATCAGTTTTTGATAACAAACTAAATTTCTGAAGTAATAGCGGTGTAATTCATTTAATGTTGAACTGTCTGTTCCAGTGTAGGTAGTAGCAATAATGGGAAAGTTGGGGATTGATAGGGATACAATTTCATTCCTAGTCTTTACTCGAAACGTCGAAGTTCTCCTTGTATTTTTCATGTAGTTGTATTCCTATCAATCCACAGCAAGTTTCGTAATTCATTTAATATTATATAATAACTATACAGTCAAACACGCAATTTGATTGGTCAATAGCCGTGCAGGATCAGGCTATCCTGCACAAGGAATTAAAATGCCTTCGCGGGATTTTTGCGGGATTCTCAAAATGTCATTGTTTCACTGTAGTTATTTTATAAAACAATTACCAAATGGTTTTCCAAGCAGGATAGCGTGATCCATGCACTTGGGATGTTGCTCGACTTTCGGACTTTACGTTTTCCGAAATTCTCGTGACATCCCTCGTAGTGCTGTGCAAACTCCGGTTTTTCATCTCCGGCTCCGGCTCCGGCCGAATTACAGCTCTGAGCTCCGGCTCCGGCCACATCATAAAATATTAAATAAATGTTTTACGATCAGAGAACATTTATTAATATTATTATGAATAACCCTTTTCGCGCTTCCTAATTATCAGATAACATAACTCAGGAAACAAAACAGTGAAAACACTTAACCACGCAGAAAATATCTATATGGAAACCAGCCTCGAAAAATCTTTGACACGAGGCATGACGCGAGGCATGACGCTAACACTCTCAGTCTCCACAGCGCAATTGTTCGCACGCAAACAAAGTACTCTGTCATTTTCAAAAGCTTGATATTTATTTGTTTTGTACTTTTTCGTTATCTACAAGGCATGAAATACACAGACTACAGTATGTAGCGCTAAGTCAGATGGCTTCATGAAAGCATGACGTTTGTAAGTTGCGATCGTATTACAGCTTTTCGACGCTGTTCCTGTGGGCTGTGGCAGTTTGAGTCTATGATGAATTCATTAACAGCAATTGGCAGTTTGCAGTAACTAACAATCGTTTGACATTTGTCTCATTTCATATTGTTTTCTTGTCATTTTGCCGGAGCTGGGAAAACGTAACTCCGGCTCCGGGCTCCGGCATACAAAATTCTGCTCCGGCTCGGCGTCGGAAAAACCGCCGGAGCTCCGGCAGAACTCCGGCTCCGGCAACTCCGGCGCACAGCACTAATCCCTCGTGCATGGATCACGCAATCCTGCACGGAAAACCATTCGGTATTCCTTTAATAGTTCATGAGAGAACACAAAGAAAATGATGACCATTGAGGAGCTTGTATTCTGATGCAAAATCCTGCTACTGTGATCACAGAAACTTTGATAGTCTAAACCATAGTGTAAACATGTTTATAAAGGAATTATTCATACTTGTTTCGTCTGATGCTTCCAATGAACCATCGTTTGGACTCCTTCCGTTGATCAATGTCGCGCGTTCTCCAGGTTTTTCTTGTACATAAGGCGAGCAAGCCAAGTCTTCTGATACAGTTTGAGTTCTTGCAGGCTCCCCACGTAAGTTCTCAAATTTATATTCCGAAATCGTTGTCGTACTCTTACAGCCGGGCAAGCATTGATGGTACTTTATATATCTCCATTGTGGTTCGGACTCAACACCCCATGTGTTGATGACATAGCGTGGTTGAGGCTTGCTGCAGTATGCCGATCTGTTGCATGCTCTCAAGTTCTCTGGATTCATGGCTAGCTTTGAGGTGAATTCAGTTTCGTTAACTAGAACGGAAGAATATAATTAAAGACCATGTAAAGTCCGTTCTGCGCATACGTTCTGCGCAGGCTTACATTCCAATGGTCGGGACCCGACCGTTGGCATGTTATTAATATTTCGTATCTTTTGAACTTTCTTGAATTGAATCTCTAGTCTGTATTCATTTACAAGCATAGCGAACCAGAAGAGTGTTAAAAATTCAGTATAATATCTATCTAATCATATTTTACAACTGAGTTAACAAAGTAAACAAAGTAAATGTAAACAAAGTAAATGTCTTTAAGGTAAAGGGCTTGTGAAACGACTTGATGAGAACGTTCGTATTTTATTGATAAATTTCACGAGGAGTATTTTACGAGAACCTCCATGAAAAGCACGCTTTTGCCTAATGGAGCATCCTGGGTAAAGATTGTATTATTATTTATATTATTATTAACAACATACCTTCGTGTGATGCAAGACGTTTGTGCTGTGTGACACTGTTTTGTGCTCCACTGCATTGACATTCACAAGCTGTATCATTATACACAACATATTTATAAAACTTTGTTTTGTCGTTGATGTCTGGAACAACTATTTCTACTTCTTTGCGTGAATTTTCGCGAGGAACAGACCAAAACCAACACGGGAGATTATTATTCCCCATAACACAACGTTGGATCCTAACAAAATACGGTTCTCTTGACTTCGGAGTGTTAAAGTTGGCACCATAAATTGAAACGACTTCCTCTGCTGTTGCTAAAAAAATAAAGTTGGGCGTGAATATATACCAAAGATAGCCCTTAAAACTGATAGAGCTATATCCAGTATAAATAAAGTAAGTTTAGTTTAGGTTTCCTCCTGCAGTAACACGTACTGGATCAACAAGAAATGATCCTTACTGGACCTCTAGGAAGAACAGTTTAGAACTGACAGAGCTATCAGTAGTATAAATAAAGTTAGTTTAGTTTAGGTTTCCTTTTGTAGTAACACGTACTGGACAATAAGAGATGATCGTTACTGAACCTCTAGGAAGAACAATTTAGAACTGATAGAGCTATTCAGTATAAATAAAGTTAGTTTAGGTTTCCTACTGTATTAACACTGGATCAATAAGAGATCATCCTAATTGCTGGACCTCTAGGAAGAACAGTTGAGAACAGATAAAGCCATCTATAGTATTGATAAAAAAAGTTGTCAAGATGGCCGCTATTTTTCAAAATCATTAAAACGTGAAAGAATCGACATCCAGGCGCTTGTATCCTCCTTCTAGCCAACCCTTCTAGTCATTCCTTACAATGTAGAACTGAGAGAGCTATCCAAAATAAATAGAGTTTGTTTATACTTACTGCAACCATTGGCGTTGACAGAATCTTGTAAACCAAAGACCATCACAAGACACAATACAGTAACATACTTTAGCTTCCCTGTAATACCAACATGTAAAGAAATAGGAATGAATCGTAATGACATCTCGGACACTATTATATATAGTGTTGAACTGTTTGATGAAATATATATTCTTGATCTATAGATGTTATGCTCATATGAACATTTTTTATCCGTTTTATATCGTTTGGCTTCCCGGATCATGAGACACCAGGGTGATCAATTAGCCTTTCTCCGGCACGGACCTTTCTGAAAATCACTTCTTGAGAAAGCTTCCTGGAAGTAAATATTAATAAATAAAGGAAGGAAATGGAACCTCCGCACCAGGAAATGCTACTTTTCGGTATTGTATTCAGTATTGTTGTTTGTATAATGGTAAATTCAGAGTTACAACTTTAAGAGTCGCTTTTCACGTTGTTTGAATTGTCTAGAATCTTTCACAAGGGCAGACATTAGTCCAAAAATGGCGGATTTTGGCCTTCGCGAGAAAGGCCAATTGAAAACGTTGTGGTCATGTGTAGGTGATATTTTTTCAATAATTGTACAGGTCGAACCCTTGTCTTATGAACGAGTGGGTTTTGTTATCCTTATCAGTCGAATGGTTTTCTCCAGAAATGGTCAACTACAATGGAAATTGTATACTCGTGCGTGGCATGTATACTTAACTAGTCATGACCTTGCATTGTTGTACAACTGACTATTAACATACGTGCGACACTGCAGAGGTCTTTGTAGTTTTGCAGAAAATTTCCAGTAGGATCGAAAGTCTTTTATATTTGGGTTTAGAATGGCCCTTTTCTTCAGTATAATTATTTAGTCCTTTAATTTGCTGATACATGGCCTTGAATGTCCTTGAAAAGTCCTTGAATTTGACTCTCACATATACGAACCCTTCCTTCTCCGTACAATTATAAAAGAATTGATATTTCGAAAGTGATCGAAAGTCTTTTATATTTGGGCTTAGAGAAGCTTTTCGAAGTGGTGGTTTTGAACGAGGCTTTAACTAAGGTTTCCCAATTTAAATATAAATAGTTTGCTAAAACACATAGACGTGCTGCGACTGCTTTTAAGCTACTCTCCTATACATATTCTCGCAATAAATTAATCTCAAAAATTGATATTCTTGACAGCCTCCTGTCTTGAGGCCAGAATCTCCAGTTGTATTAAGGTGGCTCGATATAGTTTTAGAAAATTCACGATTTAGATCCGTATTTTTGTATAGGTTATACGTGCGGATACGTGATAATAGAAGAAATAGTCGTTATGAAAGACATTTAATAAAACGAGTCCCAAACCTGCATGATCACTTTTGTTTCAACCAAAGAAAAAAGACAAGACAGGGAGGAATATTAGAGGGGAATATTACGGGGGTTATTATTCTATTATTTTGCCTTTAAATTTGGTCATATCATTGTTTTCAACCTCGCTCTCCCCCAGCTTTTCACACACTGGCAGGGGATATTGTTATAAATATATTTTCTCTAAAGAACAAATTGAAAATAAGTATAGGTTATTTTGAGGCAACGAGGGGATATGTGATTTATTATATGAAATAAACACATATCCCCGAGGTGCCTCAAAATAACGTACTTATTTTTCACACTGCGAGGTCGCATTAATGAGTAAGAATAGAAATAATTCTTAATGTCATATTGCCTTCGTTATGTTGGGTTTTTTTTCATTTTTTTGTGCTGCAAAGACATGGCAGGTGAATATTAGAGGGGATTATTAATTGCAGGTGAATATTAGAGGGGATTATTAAACGGAAATTGATTAGAGGAGAATATTGAATATATTCCCCGATAAGAACAAAGGAAACCGAGCTGGGTGAAAAATAAGGAGAATTATTTTGAAAAACAAAAGTATATCTTATTGATGTAAAACCGAAAACCTAAAGGGTTTGAATTGTTTTAACAAACTTTACGCAACTACCGTCGCTATGACAACGACAAGTCTAGCCTGCGAACAGGCTCTCAAGCTGAATTGAGAGCCTGCATCGATGACTAATGAATTTGAATATCTGCCCCGTAACGTTCGTTTTTCCAAATATGGAATGTCTATCCTTATATGGTGTTGTTTACAACTTTCGTGCAAACTAAATTTAGACCGTGCAAACTAAATTTAGACCGTACAGTTTATACTGTTTTTCGAAATATAAGATATTCAAGCAAAAGTTCAAATGTTTTAAATACTGTTTTCTCAAAACAGAACATTTCGTGCTTTGAGATAAGACGGCCAAGACCAATTTGATCAGTTAATGTGTTTTTTATGCATAGTGCTTCAGCAGTTGACATATATAGAGCTCAGCGGAAACATATAAATTATAGCATCTGACCAATGAGAATTTCGCGTCACGATTTGAGACGCAGATATTCAAATTCATTAGTCATCGATGCAGGCTCTCAATTCAGCTTGAGAGCCTGTTCGCAGGCTACGACAAGTCAAAATAGCGGATATTTTGGCTTTAAAGTTACGTAACTCTCGGTGACCCCCAAATTTTATTTCATAAAATGATGTCTTTTAGTATACTCAATTATTTTGACAATTTTAAATGACAATTTTAAAAAAGTTTTTTTGAAATTGAGTATACTAAAAGAAATCATTTTATGAAATAAAATTTAGGGGTCATCTTAAACAGGCTAAATATGCTGGCCGCATGTACGCAGTGCGTGCCTATTTTTTTACCAATCTAGCATATGAAATTATAAATTAATAAGCAAATATTTATAAGACTTTAAGTACTTCAAACAAGAAACACGGTTACTTACTTCAGGCAACACAATCATGGGAAGTTTTAAAACGGGGATGGGCCGATGCCGACACAAAATATCGATACCACACTGTAAATTCAAAAGAGTAGTTTTGATCGTTTCAGTCCCTTCGGTGCTTACTCTTCGAAAGGGTAGATTGAACCCTTTTCAGGAGGTAGTTTTAACTCCTCAAAGGGTAGGAACGTTATCTTTCGAAAGGGTCGTTTCAGCTATTCAAAAGGGTCGTTTCAGCTATTCGAAAGGGTCGTTTCAGCTATACGTAACAGTATCGATAGGTACCAGGTAATAGTTATGGTAATAGTTAATATCCCATACAAATTGACAATGGTATGTACCGTAAATTTATGAGTAAAAAATGTCAAATTACATTAAAGAACTTTTGTGTCTTGTGATAATTTAACTTCCTCTCATACGCAGTGTTGACACCTAAGTTCATTTGATTAATGAGTTAAATCTCTGATGTCGATCGCGGTGGCTAAACGTAATTATGACTTTAATACTCAATATTTAATGACGAATTTTATTTTAATATACCAGTTGAGTCAGTCCGATATCTGCATGGGCGTTACTTTAATAAAATACAAAATAATAGATACTCCGAAAATTGAAAGTATTTTGAAAATTTATTTCGACGTTTCGACTAAACTATATTGTTATCATCAGGAAATGAATGATGATGACTATAGTTTAGTCGAAACGTCGAAATAAATTTTCAAAATGCTTTCAATTTTTGGAGTATCTATTGTTTTGTATTTTATCAAATACTCAGTGGTTCCAGTAGTTACTTTAAATATGCGTAAAATATAACATTGCGCAAACGTTGGAATGTTTCTGTGCCACTGCCACGTTCCCTTTGTTGGAGGGGAACGTTGTTTCAATATAATATGTAACGTTGCGCAGATGTTGTTGGAAATTGGAATGTCATGCTGTAACGTTGTTTATGCGTGAAATATATAACTTTGCGCAAACGTTGGAATGTAGTGTTTCTGCGCCACGTTCATTTCGTTAGAGGGACCGTTGCTTTAAGGTAATAACGTACGTAACGTTGGCCAGATGTTGTTTAGAAGGTCAGTGGAAGACCATGGCGTAACGTTGAACAAAAGGTATTTTAATCTATAACGTTACACAAACGTTGTATAAATGTCCATGCAGCACGTCATAGTAAAACGTTGCATTAAGGTCCAGACACACCAGACGCGATTCGACAACGCGCCAAGCGATTTTTTAGTTTTTGAAAGTTAATAAAACAGCCATTGAGAGCAAATTTTGAAAGATATGTAGGCCAAATAACTCAGAATGTTATCAAGAATCAAAGTTATCGGTCAGTGAAAATCGAAAAATCGCGTTGCGTTGTGGAATCGCGTCCGGTGTGTCTGGACCTTTAGCGTTGAAACATAACGTCGTATTCACGTCACCTGAACGTCGTAATGCACACGTTTAATGCAACGTCTCTACAATGCTTGTCACACGAACTTATTCTCTTAAGAAGATGAAGAACGTTAATTGTATATGTAGCCTACGTACGTCGTAGTAAAGTTAGGTCCGACCTAACGTTCCCACTATCTTCTACTAACGTTGTGTTTACGTTGTGTGTTAGCTGGGTAACTTATGCCATTATACAAGTAAATTGTTCTATAAGAGTGTTGGTGTCTTCACTATCAAAAGCGGTATGTTTTTGTTTATTGTGAAATTGGCCTAGTAGGCTATAGATATTAGTCTATATATTTTGTCTGCATACTATACCATGTAGATTTTTAGACGTTTTATATAATGAGTTAACTCTTGCACAATACAACCACACTCATGCTTTCAAATGCTGCAGTTCAACGGCTTTATGCTACTTTCTTTTTGTATGTTAACTGAATTAAACGAACTTTATTTATACTGGCTAGCTCTATCAGTTCTAAACTAAACCTCTAGACGTTTGGTAAGGTCATCTCGTATTGGTCCAATGTATAGCTATGCACGTGTAATGAACCACGATAGACACATGATAGTGTCATGAATGAAGGGCATTGTAGGTGGAAATTATCGAGTGGAAATTTATATACATTTATTAGACATAACCAGGAAGGATAAATGTATATGAATTTCCACTCAATAATTTCCATCTAACAACACCCTTCAATTATTATTCAATCTAGTGAGATGCCAATAAAATCTTGTTATGAATTAAGACCTGTGGCGTTTGGTAGAATTATATCGAGACCAGTCTTCTCACTAAGTCAATGTTAGAGAAAACTGGATAAAGTGAATATTGTCAGTACTGTAATGTATACCATAGCATGGTGAATTTTTCACGGAAACAAATAT